TTATCATTCGTCTTGATTTTTATTTAACGACATGAGATAGTAATGATGTCATTAAGTTGATGATCATGTATGTGAAACACCTATATCTGATAGTTTAAAAGATTACGTATAAAAATCTACAAATAGAAATAAGCTTTAGCATGTTTTATTTCTATAATATCTTAGAAAAATCACTAGAGGAAGAAAGATACCAAAAAAATCATCTAAATTAAAGATTGGATTAATACTAAAATCTAAAAAGTCTTTTATTTTATCGTTTTTCAAAACAAAAAATTGACGTCCACACCATCTTGTACCGTAATCGAACAGCAACCATCTACTCATAAAACACTAAACTTTCATGAATAAACACTGGATTAGTCGAAAAAAAAACATTTGTTGACACTTGATAAATTTTATATTAAATAAATTATCTTTTTCTTCTCTCACTGTTCTTCATAACTTCAATTTCATTGGTTGACAATTGTCTTCACTGCTGTCAATTTTTTGGCACATCTTTGAGAATGATACTTCTATGTGATTGAGTTCTGAAAAGTAGTTTCAAGCAACTAAAGGATTTTTAAATATTTAAATGAATCGATGATGTCGCTTTTTATTTTATTCAAGATCGTGGAAAAAGATAATAACGACTGATATCTCTTTCATGACCTTGAGATGTAAGAATCTTTGAACAAATCTTGAAAAGATCTTAGGTACAGATTTATCTGATACCAAAACTCCGAATCTTTTAATCTATCTAGGGCTTTAGTTTTTTCGTTAACATTAAAAAAATTCTCTCTACGCGAAATATTGTCGATGTTAAAATTATTCTAATAATATGTTAAGATAAATTGCTGGATTTCATAGTTAAATTAACATCAACTATATATGCTTAAATTTGATAAGTATTTCGTATCGATTGTTGTTTAGTAGCATCAAATTCAATCGAACAAGTTATTTATTTATTCAATGTAATAGCTAATTCTTTTTTTTTTTAACATTTATTTGTATTGTTCCCAGAAGGATTAACAAGAAGAAACGTCAAACATAATTCACATCAGAATATATAATTAAATAAAAAGGAGAAAGAAGACATTTGTTTTAGATAGTTTAGAAAGACATACTTTTACATAATGTTTTAAAGAAAAATTTAACACACAGTATAGATTATACTTAAGAATAGATTGAGAAAGAAAAAAGAAAGAACAATACAATTCACATTTTGTTAACAAGTATATTTTAGTCAAACACTTCCTTTCTTTATCACACTTTCTTCAATATAATATTAAGGTGGATATAAAGGATAGAATTTAAGGACAAAAAATTCGAGAAGGGATGAAGTATTTTTAAAGTAATGGAATTGTCTTTTGTGTGCATTGTTAAATTGGAGAAGGTCAAGATATGTATGATGCACTCTTTCGAAAAGTCTATTAGCAAATTTATTATTTTTCCTCATTCCTATACTCCTATAATAACTTTTAGAGGGATCAGATGCAATTGTAAATGCTGTCCAAGTTTGTCTAAAAGATTCAGCTTCATCTGCTTTTTCCAGATGATTTTGGAAACGGTTCCAGTATTTAAAAACATAATCTCTTATTGAGTACTCCCTACTTAAACACAAAGTACTGAAGTCTTCATAACCCCATAAATTATATATCAATCTTAAACCTGATCCATACACATGTTCAATTTTCTGTCTTTGTTGATCGGTATAGTAGAACCATGTACAGAATAACCAAATTATATGGGGGAGTGAGAACGAACAAAATAATGTTTTTCTTATTTTAAGTTCATTCTTGGGAATTGTTTTATAAATTTTTCTTAAAGCGCAGTAGCTATTCCTTACCTTCTTCAATCGGTCGTTAATATAATTACCTAAACCTAGTTTCGTACCTAACTCAACACCCAAATATTTAAATTTTATCACGTATTCAATTTTAACACCTTTATAATAAATATTGGGTTTTTCAGCATTTACAGCGCTATGCATTAACATTGCTTTAGTCTTTTTTATATTTACTGGTAATATATGATCACCGGAAAACTTCTCTAAAGATTTTAATACCTTATTTGCTTGTTCTTGTATATATTTAATATTATCAGATAATCTTCTCTCAAGTGCTCCATTAATAACCATTAATAAATCATCAGCGAAAAGATGACACGTACTCTGTGGAAAATAAGATATGAGGAAATGAATATGAAGACGAAAAAGGAGTGCAGCTAATACACTTCCTTGTGGAGCACCAACAGAAACTTTAAAGTTCTCGGAACCAGAGACCGAAAACGAGTCGAGTACTCGACAAATCGACTCGACTAATGCCGAGTCGAGTCGAGTTGAGTTAAAGATTTTAAAATGTGTGTCGAGTCGAGTCGAGTCCAGTAAAATCTACTCCCGAGTCGAGTCGAGTCGAGTTTGACTCGAGAGACTCGACTTTTTTGAATTTTCTTGTGGCTCTTTCTATTCTTTCTCAGCAAGAATGTTTGTTAGTTTTGGCTTTATTAAAACAGTACAATGTTAATGCATCACAATGAATTCGTCAGACAGTCAGTGTCAATGGCTAAACAACAATGAACCGACGGTGTTGAATGGACTGAAATGAATAGCGAATAATGACTTTCATTGTATTCACTGTATTATTGTCTATTCATAGATTAATTGACGGTCAGATTATAACTCAAAGACGCTCAAATCTCGATCCTTCAACAGTCAATAACTTAATTTTTTTACGTTCATTTGAAAACAACAAACAACTACTCTAGCTTAGAGTTTTTTCTTTTGATTCATTCTTGTGGCTTTTGTTAATTTTGTTATTTATTCTTGCTATTAAATAAAGCTATATTTATAAACATTAGTTATTTGAACGAATACTCGGTGACTCGACTCGAGTCAGATCTTTTTCCAATGTCCATCCAGTCGAGTCGAGTCGAGTTGAGTCAGATCTTTTCCCAATGTCCATCGAGTCGAGTCGAGTCGAGTGAATACCTAAGTCGAGTCGAGTAGGATTTTTTTGACTCGTTTCGGTCTCTGCTCGGAACTGACATCTCCATAACTAATAAACATATGTCTGTTTTGAAGCCAATTAAAAATCCATTTTCTTATTTCTAAGGGCATATCAATCCTTTTTAACGTTCTCATCAAAGCTGGATACCACATGCGATCAAATGCAGTTAAGAAATCTATGAAAACGCAAAGAGCTGGCCTATTTGGTGCTGCAACTGTAATTCTGAGATCTTCGATAAGTGCTACAATTCTCGTTTGTAATCTCCTATTTGCAGTAAAACCTGACCGTTCATCTACATATACACCTTGTTCTTTACACCATTTTTCTATACGCTGCGACATTACTCTTTCGAAAACTTTAGCCAAATTTGGTAAAAGAGAGATCGAACGAAGACGATTTTCCGTAGGGAATGCTCCTTCTTTAGATAAACAGATTCCCTTCGCAATTTTACCTTTTTCGAAAAATTCACCTAGTTCAGCACATTTATTAAATAACACCGTTATTATTTGTATATATACCTCAGGTATCTTTTTTAACATAAATGCAGATGTGTTTGTACTATCTAAAGACTTTTTTGAGGTAATTCTGTTCCATTGAATTTTTACTTCATCAAATGTTATTTTTTCTAATTGAATATTCGGATTATTTCCTATTCTTTCATATTCTTCAAGGCATTCTGTATGAAAAGAATTATTATAATTAATACTAGGTTCAGAAAAATGTACCTTATAATACATAGCTAGCCTATTTACTACACTCAAATTGTCTCTCAAAATATTATTATCAACTGTTAAACCTTTAAATGAAGGAGAATAAGGACGAAACATATGTTTCACATGTGTCCATATGTTTCTTCCATTTTTCATATTTTTTATTTTTTCCTCTCTAATTAGTTGTTCGTATTTGATCTTTTCCTCCGAATAAATTCTTCTTAACTCCGTAAATTCATAATAATCTCCTAGAAACCTTGTTTTTCTAAATCTTCACTTTTTTTTATTTACTAATTTTACCAAATTTGCTAAATATGGAGGCCAAGGTGGTCGAAATTTCTTTATACTTTCATATTCACTACACCTATCGCATAGAGCTGCTAAAAATTCTGTAAATATGTTAAAAAAGGAATTATACTCCATATTATAAACTAAACAATTCCAGTATGGATATACAATTTGAAGGAAGAAAGTAAATAAATTCCATTTTGTCTTTTTAAACGTTTCATTTTCATCAGCTGTAAAAGGAGAGAAAAACTGCACAGGGTAATGATCCGATGTACCTTCTTCTATCCTCTCAACACTCCACTTTTCTACATCTTTACCTATTCCAAAATCTATTATAGAATCTGATTTTTTTTATGTTCGTTTAGTAGTGCATATTGTTTCAAAACCATTTAGATCTAGCCATTCTTTAAGCCGATTACCGCTAGCGTTCGTCTTCTCACATCTCCAACTCTCATGTTTAGCATTGTAATCACCGAAAATAAAAATATTTTTATCTTTATGCACATCGAATAATTCAAAAGGTGGAAGACTTCCTGGTGAGACATAAATTGCACCAACGTGTATTTTTTCATTTAATATTTCTATTTCGATAAGTAAAAAGTTTACCGATTCATCTATTAATTTTGATTTAAAATTGTTATGAATAAGAAGTGCAACACCACCAAAGCTGTTACTCCCTTTTCTACTATATCATTTATAATAAGGAATATTGGGAAGCCTATTTATCTGTCTTCCAACTCCCGTAATAATGCACACGTGAGGACAATATAGAGAAAGAAGAAGATCCAAGTCAGAAGTATGGGTACTTAAACCTTCACAATTCCACAAAAGAATAGAGAAATTCTTGGAATGACTTTTAGGTCTTTCTTTACGCCAACGCCTACACAATTCACTCACACACAATTTTTCGTTCCACTCGCTTATCATAGAAAATAAATAATCTTTTGTATCCTCAGTTCCATCAAATTGCTCGATAACATTATAATTTAATACAGGGTCACAATATTTAAAATCATTACTAAACATTTGGGTCTTTAAATAATGAATCAAGTGCTTTATTTAAAATTTCATTTTGTTTATCAACGAGCTGTTGTAATGAATTGATGTGTGTAGTAAAAAAGGATTCAGCTTCTTGTAAATATTCGATTTGATTTTCTAATTGATGAATAGCTTCATTGTTGTTCGTTGTAATTTTATTTAATGCTTCATAAATTGTTCTTGTTGTTTTTAAACACGTAACGAATATAACTTGTTTCATGTTATTATTTATTACAGTTAACATTTGTTGAGACGTTTGATGTTGTTGATGCATAATTAACCATGTCTGATTTAAAGTATCGAGATGTTCCTTATATTTATCTTTCAATTTTTGTAAATCATTTTCATATTTTTTCTTCATTTCTTGAAATTCGTTGTTTAATAACCGCACTGATTCACGTAAATTGATATTCATTGGATTATTCATATCCTGTGAAGTATATGTAAGAGTCGGTCAAATACTTTGATTGTTTAAATTAAGATTTTGTTCTTTTTGTTGATAAGATGAGGTGTTTTGAATATATTTTGTTTTATCTTCTTTATTCCGATATTCTGTTGGAATAAAAAGTTGTATGTGTTGAGGTAGCTTTTCCGGATGTTTTTTAAGTTCATTTATTAGTTCACGTCGAAATTCCTCCATTAAAGGGCATTTATAATCAGTTGAAATATGTTGACTACCACAATGGTGACACTTAATTTGACAATCATTATGTGCTTCAGCATTTGAACGATCACCACCACAGCGACGACAGATATCAAAGGTTGAATTTTGACAAATTCTTTTTGTATGCCCTGGTTTATTGCATCTTCCACATATAAGAATCTTAGATGCAGGAAGAAATTCAGCCACATCGAACATTTGACCCATTAAACTAATTTTTTTGTTGTTTAAAATTAATTCATATTCAGTTTTATCTAATAATTCGATTTTTACATGTCTTGTTCTATCATTTAAAGTACCATTCATAGTTGAAATAGAATGAATACTTTTATATGTCATATTCAATTCTTCTCTAATATCATTGTCAGCTATTGAATTCCTTACCCATTTTAGTATAACTACATGTTGTGGAGGTAAATGAGCAGGTGGATTTGGTTTAATTTTAAAATTAAACAATTCATTTGGATATCTATTTTTATTACATAAATAAATATAAAGTTCTGTCGTTTTGATAATCATTTGAAGATTACCTTCTGAATCTATCCACCATAGATCAACTAATAACGGTTTAGTAAAAAGAGGATAAGCACGTAAAAAATCAATTTTAATATATTTCATTAACTCATTCACCATTTTGACACCTTGTTTTTTATCATTTAATTTCGGTTCACATTCTAATTTGAATGACGAATAATGATAATCAGCAGCATAAACAAGGGCCTGATTCGAAATTTTCATATTATTATTGTTTCTTCTGATTGAATTATTATTTATATTGTTTGACAAGACGTTCTGTTGATGCTTTCCTTGCCGTTGATGTGTTGTGTTTGTAAAAGTTCTTGTTGATTGAGAAGGATTTCTATCATCTTTATCATTAAATTTTTTCTTTTGTTTATAACTACGTACTGTTGTCTATCCGGTGTTCAATTCGTTGTTGTCACAAATAATTTCATCATCATCTGAATATCTTGGACGTTCACTTGTTGCATGTCTTTTTAATGAATTATTAGTAATAGCATCGTTATTATTCTCTTTCATTTCATATTGACGAAGTCTTTGCCTAAGTTCATCTTCATCACACATTCGATCTTTTTGTTCACTTGTCATGTTATGAAATTGTTCATAACTCATAATTTTTAATTGTTTAAGATTTCGTCCTTATTAACTTTTTTTTTTGCCCTTGATGACCTTTACTTCAATTGTATATAGTAAGGAAAAAAAAAGTGCGGACGACACGCGAAAAGGAATGAATGGTTTTGAATGTAATAGCTAATTCTTGATCAATGCCGTTAGTTAGTATTATATTTAGTATATTTGCACAAATGAGTATTAATACATAATTCAAATCAATTGTAAGAGAAGAATACATTGCTAAAAACAAAACTTTTCTGGGATCATTTGAGCATTCTATTCAAAGTTAAAATAATAAGAAAAATTAGGGAAAAAAAAATTATTTTTTGTTCTATCGAAATGATTCCAATGAATCTTTATCAGTTTGTTCAATATTGTTTAATAAAATACTATTCGACATTTGTTGTACAATATGTATATGGTTTTAGTTCATATTGTTCGATCATTTGTGCACTATCTTCAACAGAATTAGTTAATATTATTATTATACTATCATATTCATTTATATCAGTATGTTTTTTATTTAAAAGAGTTTCAAATATATTTTTATTAATCGAATTTATTTGTTGTTGATTAGAGTTAAACTACTTTTTATTGTTAACTTTCAGATGAAAAAGTTTGTTATCGAGATTAATATTGTTGACAATTATATGAATGTAATAAAAGCAAAAAAAA